CTGTAATTCCAGCTACTCAGGAGGCTGAGGCAAGAGAATCACTTGAACCCGGAAGGCAGAGGTTGCAGTGGGCTGAGATTGCACAACTGCGCTCCAGCCTGGGTTGCAGAGTGAGACTCCATCTCAAAAAAAAAAAAAAAAAAAAAAAAAAAGGAATAGACTCCTTTCTGCACCTGTATTTGCTCTAGTCGTAAAAAAACTTTATGGCCAAGTGCAGTGGCACACCTGCGGTCCCAGCTACTCTGGAGGCTGAGGAGGGAGGATTGCTTGAGCCTAGGAGTTTGAGGCCAGCCTGGGCAATATAGCAAGACCCTGTTAGATATTATCTATTTATATGATAATAATAATGACCTGTAATCCCAGTACTTTGGGAGGCCTAGGCAGATGGATCATCTGAGGTCAGGAATTCAAGACCAGCCTGGGCAACATAGTGAAACTCTGTCTCTACTAAAAATACAAAAATTAGCTGGGCACAGTGATGCATGCCTGTAATCCCAGCTTCTCAGGAGGCTGGGGCAGGAGAATTGCTTGAGGCGGAGGTTGCAGTGAGCCGAGATTGCGCCATTGCACTCCAGCCTGGGCGACAGAGCAAGACTCCATCTCAAAGTAATAATAATAATAATGATACATACTATTTTAGTCGAGAGTCATTTTTTCCTTTATCCATCTGTTATTCACCAACTGTGTATCTCTTGCCTGGCCCAGAATTGAGAGATAATGAGGGGCCCAGACAAACTCCCTGTCCTGCCTGAAGGGATGTTCAGTATTGAACAATTGTTGCTTTATGGCTTTATGACAAAGTCCCAGGTGCTCATGATAATCTTTGTACAGTGGTGGGGCTGTAGGGAGCCCTAACATAGCCTGGGGAAGGCTGCCTAGAAAGTGGAGACCTGAAGGCTGAGGCCATGTTAAGGATTTAGGTAGAATTTATGCACTATGGTATTTTTTCTTTTGTTAATTTTTTATAATTTACACATACACATGGTAAAATGTGTAACAAGGCACAGTGTTACATAGCAAACATAAGCCTCACTCCACCTTCTCTCTCCACCTACCTGTCCACCTTCTAGATGCAGCCGTTGTTACCAGGCCTTGCGTTTTCCTGCAGCCAGAGTCCATTTGTATCCCACATCTATATTTTTTTCCCGGCATTTGTTTCCAAATGGGATCTTGCTACTTTGGAGGTTCTCCACCTGGGATGATTTGGCACCCCCCACCTTCCCACCCCAGGAGACACTTAGCAATGTCTGGAGATACTTGATGGTTACAGATGAACAGGGGGGGCCAGGCATGGTGACTCGTGCCTATAACCCTAGCACTTTGGGAGGCCAAGGCAGGTGGATTGCTTGAACTCAGGAGTTCAAGACTAGGTTGAGCAACATGGCAAGACTTCATCTCTACAAAAAATTTTAAAAATTAGCTGGGTGTGGTGGTGTGCACTTGTGGTGACTAAGGAGGCTGAGGTGGGAGGATCAATTGAGCCTAGGAGGTTGAGGCTGTAGTAAACTATGATCATGCCACTGCACTCCAGCCTGGGCAACACAGTGAGACCCTGTCTCAAAAACAAACAAACAATTATTGCCAATTGCCAATTAGTGGGTAGAGGCCAAGAATGCTGTCAAACATTCTATAATTCACAGGACAATCCCCACTTATCTGGTGGAAAATGGCAACAGTGCTGAGGTTGGGAAGCCCTGTCCTGCATAAGCACAGGGTCTGCACCTTGTGTGTATGTGTGTGTATGTGTGTGTGTGTGTGTGTGTTCTCATGTATTTTCTGGATCATTCACATTTATAGATCCACCTCATTATTCTTTGTGGCCACATAAAAATCCATCACCTGGATGCTCCACCATTTTCATTTAGGTATTTGCACTCTTTCTGCTATTATAAACATTTATGCTACAAGGGTTATTCTTTTCCATGCACATGCCTTTGATGTGTGAGGTCAAGGGAGAAACTGATGGAGGTGGGATGGATGAACCCAATGGTTCATTAGCATTTTAAACAACCTATTAAAGATACCTTCAGTCTCTCTGGGGCACATTATGTCTGGAGAGTGGGTCTGGGCCCTGGCTGCTCACCAGGGCTGAGATCCTCAAAAGTCTGGTGGAGAAACATCCTCTGCATTCCTCGTGTACAGACAAGGATGTTCTGACCACCTGTCTCTCCACAGGATGAGGGTGTCCCCCACCTGAAGACGACAAGCCGGGTCCTGAGTGATGCCGCTGAGCTGAGTGTCCAAGGCCGGCCCGAGGAACCCCCATGGCCCCACCTTTCCCCATGGAGAAAGGACTCACTTTGCTCCAGGACTGCCGGGACTTTCTGCACAGCCTGAAGATGAGAAGCAAATACGCTCTTTTCTTGGTTTTTGTGGTGATAGTTTTTGTCTTCATCGAAAAGGAAAATAAAATCATATCAAGGTGAGGGTTGCAAGCCCAAGTCTTCATCTTCCTTTCAAGGTGGGGTGGGTGGGGACAGGGAGGTAACTGCAGGGCTCTCTGTGGACCTGCAAATGCATTCCTTCAACAAGCCATCCCCAGGCCCCTCCTGTGTCCCAGGCAGTGGCTTCTGCACACGTCCTCATGACTGCACAGGGGCGAGACTTGGGCTCTGGACTCAAACAGCCTGGGTTGGAGTCCCCCGTGTTGGCCCTCTACAACTGTGAAAGGTTAGGCAAGATACTTCACATTTCTGAGTCTTCAGTTCCTCTTCTGTAAAATGTGGCTAATGATGGGACCAGCATTGTTGTAAAGAGTGAATGAGAAAATGTAAAAGCATTTAGCCCAGTGCCTGGCACATAGTTGGTGTCCAGTATTTGCTGGCTGCGACTATTACTATTAATTTACTTCCTGGCCTTGCATTAGCAGCACATCCCCTATAGAAGTCTTGATCATTGAACCCGTGGAAAGGCAAGGTCCTAGTATGGATACTCTGATGGGCAGGGCTGCCATGTGCAGCTGCCAGGCCGTGTACTGCTCAACTCCAGGAGCATGTCCCTCAAATAGGCTACCCTGGGAACGCCCCTTTACCTCTTTGAATTGGCAGCATACAGCTATGTGCAGTGGGCCTGTTAGATGTAGAAAGATTTCTTAGCCTGTTCTCCTCCCAGGCACAAGCCCTGCAAGAAAGCATTAGCTAAGATGGGTGGGTCAGGGATTGGGCAATACAGTGGACACTGTCAATGCCCCACTTGGGTCACTGAGCAAGGACCATTCTAACTTGTGCCTATTGGGTTCTACTGCAAGCCCCTACAGCTCTGCACCTGAGAGCTTTCTCTCCACCAGCACACTGGCAAGCCGGAAGTACTAGGGAGTAAATGTCCCCCCAGATCCCCATCAGACTGAGCCTCTGATGCCCACACCTGCTTCTAGCAGCATATCTGTCATGGACCTCTTTCCTCCCCTGCCTCACTTCCCTATCCAGTTCTTCCTGTGATCATGTCCCAAATAAACGAAGCACAAATCCTTGCCTGAAAGTCTGCTTTTGGGGAAACCCAACTGAGACAGATCTTGTTCATCTGCTTGGGAGACTGCTTCGGGTTGCCCAGGAGGCGGGGTCCCCAGTCAGCCACTGACCCTGATCTTCTTTGTCCTCACAGGGTCTCAGACAAGCTGAAGCAGATCCCCCAAGCTCTGGCAGATGCCAACAGCACCGACCCCGCCCTGGTCTTAGCTGAGAACGCATCCCTCTTGTCCCTGAGCGAGCTTGATTCAGCCTTCTCCCAGCTGCAGAGCCGTCTCCGCAATCTCAGCTTGCAGCTGGGTGTGGAGCCAGCCGTGGAGGCCGCAGGAGAGGAAGAGGAGGAGGAGGGAAAGGAGGAGCCACCCAGACCGGCCGTGGCTGGGCCCCGGCGCCACGTGCTGCTCATGGCCACCACGCGCACCGGCTCCTCGTTCGTGGGCGAATTCTTCAACCAGCAGGGCAACATCTTCTACCTCTTCGAGCCGCTGTGGCACATCGAGCGCACAGTGTCCTTCGAGCCGGGGGGCGCCAACGCCGCGGGCTCTGCCCTGGTGTACCGCGACGTGCTCAAGCAGCTCTTCCTGTGCGACCTGTACGTGCTGGAGCACTTCATCACGCCACTGCCCGAGGACCACCTGACCGAGTTCATGTTCCGCCGGGGCTCTAGCCGCTCCCTGTGCGAGGACCCCGTCTGCACGCCCTTCGTCAAGAAGGTCTTCGAGAAGTACCACTGCAAGAACCGCCGCTGCGGCCCCCTCAACGTGACGCTGGCCGCCGAGGCCTGCCGCCGCAAGGAGCACATGGCCCTCAAGGCCGTGCGCATCCGGCAGCTGGAGTTCCTGCAGCCGCTGGCCGAGGACCCCCGCCTGGACCTGCGCGTCATCCAGCTGGTGCGCGACCCCCGGGCCGTGCTGGCCTCGCGCATGGTGGCCTTCGCCGGCAAGTATAAGACCTGGAAGAAGTGGCTGGACGACGAGGGCCAGGACGGCCTGAGGGAAGAGGAGGTGCAGCGGCTGCGGGGCAACTGCGAGAGCATCCGTCTGTCCGCAGAGCTGGGGCTGCGGCAGCCCGCCTGGCTGCGGGGCCGCTACATGCTGGTGCGCTATGAGGACGTGGCGCGCGGGCCGCTGCAGAAGGCGCGCGAAATGTACCGCTTTGCCGGCATCCCCCTGACTCCGCAGGTGGAGGACTGGATCCAGAAGAACACGCAGGCGGCCCACGACGGCAGCGGCATCTACTCCACGCAGAAGAACTCCTCGGAGCAGTTCGAAAAGTGGCGCTTCAGCATGCCCTTCAAGCTGGCCCAGGTGGTGCAGGCCGCCTGCGGCCCTGCCATGCGTCTCTTCGGCTACAAACTGGCGCGGGACGCCGCCGCCCTCACTAACCGCTCAGTCAGCCTGCTGGAGGAGCGGGGCACCTTCTGGGTCACGTAGGGGCACCGGGGCCCCGTGTGCCCCTCCTCGTGAAAGGCCTGCCCCGCCTTTCTGCCGCAGCCCTCGCAGAGGGCGGGTGCGCAGCGCCGTGAGCGGGCAGCACCTCCTGTAGCAGTAGGGCCCCCAGCCAGCGCTCCGCCAAAGCGGCGGCCCCAGGGTTAATCGCGGAGAACAGGACAGTGTCCGGTCCCCTTGAGGGCCATCACACCCAGACCCAAGGGGTTGCAGCCTCCTGAGCAGGCCCAGGCAGGCCCGGGCCTGTTGGCAAGCTTCGATCTCAGAGAAACATACATTTGTGCCTGGAGACCCTGCAGGCCAGAGTCCAAATATTTAACAACCAGAAGGGGCAAGGCTCTGACCAGTGACAGTCAGACCTCCTACTTTATTTGGTGTTAACCGTTTCTTGTCTGGATGGTGAAGTCTGGAATCTGGGTGGGTCCTTGGAGGAGGGGCCAGGACAGCCCTGGGTGTCAAAGGTGGCATTTGAGGCTCATTTGAGGTGACAGTGGCTGTTTACCAACCAGTACAGAGCGATTCAGCATTTTCATGAATGGAATGGCTGGATGAATCTGGGCCCCATATCGAGCTGAAAAACACACACATGCGTATAGACATGCATACATGTACGCCACACACAGACAAGCCTCATAAAGGCACAAGTGCACACACATCTATGCAGACAAGCTTCCTCGCTGCTTATGCCTACAGGGTTTTTCTGTATCACACACCTCAGAGGAGCCTGTGATTACATTTGTAGGATTATTTCGAGGGCAGGGCAGGGGAAGGAAATGCGTTAAAGGCCATGACATGACACGGTTCCCTGGCCAGGTTTGGGACTGAACGGCAGATTCAGAACTGCAGCGTTCAAAGCCCCTGCCCGCCTTAGGTTCTCATGGCTACCTCCTCTGACCTATCCACATCCTTGCAGCTGGCAGGCAGGATGTTTTGAAATGGTGCAGCCAAAGGCCCGGTCCAGCTTGGCTCGCTCCCGAACATGTCCATATTTGAAGGCTGCCTCAGGCCTGGCAGGGAGAGGCAGCTGTGGTCCCTGCAGGCAAAAGGCAGCTCATGGGGCCTTCCATTTCCAGCCAGGCCTCATCTGGGGCAGGGCCAAGAGGAAAGTACAGAGTACCCGTGGGGGAGAAGTCCCGCCAGGATGCACCCCTTCCCTGAGAAGCCCGCCTTCTCCCTCATGGACAGGGTCCGCCAGCTGGTTGCCGTGGTTACAACCAGTGCCTGGAATTCCTCCTTAGGGCTCTGGGAAGAGTATTGCTCAATGCAGGATGTGCTGGGTGTTTTATTTGGGGTTTTTAAGTTATTTATGGCTTGGTGTCTTTCTTGTTTTGTGGCTGTGTTTTTGCTTTTGTTTCTGCAGGAGCGCCTCTCCCAAGCAGTGGGGGCCTGAGGGCTTGAAAGAGGCTGGGAACACTAGCAGGGAGCACTTGGCTCCTGGCAGAGGGAGAGGACAGGAGGAGGAGCCTTCCCCAGGAGGAGCGAGGAGAGGTGGCCGCATGGCAGGCCACAGTGCCCTATGGGCTTTTCTGTTTGAACCCCATGTGGGATGAATCTCAAAGCCACCAGCGTTCTGGCCTAGTGTCCAGAGCAGCAGAGATTTGCAGCCCTCGCCCCTCCCTGAGAAGAAGCTGGATTTGAAAATCCCTCACAGGCCCTAACATGTTTCCTGGGTGGGCAGAGGCCTCATGATCAAGCAGCAAGTATACCCAGAGTAGAAGCCCTTCCCCACTCCCACCTCAAACCCAGGAGCAGAACTCAGTGTCCAGAGCTTGCAAGGGTTTGCCGAGGGCTGCCCAGCCCTGTTTCTGGTTTCCTGGACAATTTCTCTGTCAGATACGGCCCATTGTAAACCCAGAGGGCTGCATTTTGGGTTGAGTAATACGGACACCAGGGAAGTACAGAATGAGTCCAGCATTGCCGTGGGGGAGGGAAGAGTGTGTCCTGGCAGGAAGCCACCATTGGAGAAGGTGAGGCCAGTAACCGTCTCATGGGATTTGCAATCATCAGCCTATTTGAGCTGCTGGGTCTCTGTTACTGTGGACTCCAGTCATTCAAGGAGTTCTCCACTCTTGGGTTTTTTTTTTTTCTTTTCTTTTGCTATTTTGCCTGAACACCCCAACACTCTTGGTTTTAGAGGCCAAGAGTAAGTTGTGCAGAGACGTGGTTCTAATTTGGAGTTCAAAGGAACACCAGCTCTGAAAAGGTGACTATGGGGTCAGGATGTTTCTGGCAGGCTCAGAAGTGCTGGCTGCTCTTCCCCAGCCTCCCCACTGCTCCCTCCTCTGTTCCCCATGTGGAGGTGGGGGGTGCTGGGACTGGGGAGAGGGCAGCCACCTCCATCCAAGGCTCTTCCTAGGGGCCTTGCTATTGTGGACAGCAGACTTTATCCCTCCTTCTTACTCTGGGCCAAGACCTCCCACTCCGCTCTCTGAGGATGGCACCAAGAATGGGCCTTTGAGACTTCTCAGGACATTGACAATGTGCACACTGCAAGTTGACTTAATTTATTTATTTTGTGAAAAGAAGAGACAGAAAATACCTTATTATCTGCAGGGACTCGACGCTGTACCCGAATCAAGAAAGAAAATAACAATAGAAACCATTCACACACTCTGTTCATGCACGGACACCAGAAGCCGATTCAGAACACCAGAGGAGAATAAGCCGGAGCGCCAGCACCACGATGGCCCCGGGACGTTGTTTAAGATCTGAGATCCCTTGGTTTCTCTCATGTTTATCTGAGATGCCACATCAGGGCCCTTGCTGCTATATTACCTCTGCCCGGGTGTTTGAGACCGGTCACAAGTGCGTGGGTGTTTCCTGGAAATGTATTCCCCTGGGATTCAGCGATGCTCTGGGAACCGTTGGGGTTTGGGGAAGGACAATGTGGTGTGACTATTGGCTTGACACGTTGTGGATGTGGTTGGAGTCATCCACGTGGACACGATTTTCAGCTTGGAGCTGGGATGGAGAAGATGGAAGCGCTGGGGGCCGGGCCTCCTTTTCCAGCAAGGCTGGCCCTGGTTTCTCCTCTGTTCCAGCTTGTCTGCCAGAGCCTTCCCCTACAAAGTGCCCACCTGCCCGGAGACAGAGGGAGCAGCTGAGGCCTCTCTCCACTGGCCGCCAGCCTCCCCAGCACAAGAGGACTATTCAGCTATGAGTGTTTACTCATGTTCTTTCTTATTGATGAGTTCTGCAGCCCAGCCTATAGAAATGGCTCAGAACATTCCAGGCCTTGGTGAGACAGAGCAGCATCCAGCGCTCACAGGCTGTCCCCGCTCTGCCTGTTCCCATCTTCCCCTTGGGGCCTGTTCATAAATTGAGGAATGGATAAGGGCCCTGGAGGGTCCTTGGGAGTAATTAGTGGAGGGCAGGATTCCCAGGTCCCCGTAGAGAGGGAAGGAGAAGCCCACATGTGCACAGAAGCCCGTCTCTGTCACACACACACCGCAGGTGGTCACCGATTTATTTTCCAAAAGCTTAGAAATATAAAGCAAATTTAGGCTTTTGTCCCTCTGCGATACATGCACTTGAAAATAAACAGAAAAGAGATGTTTAATAACAAGTTTACTTCCTGTCTGCTAGCACCCTCAGCCTGGGAGGTACTGCCAGAGGCTGGCGTAGGGGAGCAGCTGCTGACCAAACCCCACAGAACGGAGGCACCGGCATCACACGACATCTTTCCCTTCCATCTCGGTCATCTATCTGTCTGGCAATGGAAGGAGCTCCAGCAGGAGGTCCTTCCCAGAAGGTTGATTCTTGGCCTGGGTGGTAGAGGAGATATCCTGACCCTAAAGTCTTCCAGCCCCAGGTCATCCTCTGCTATGCTGGGGTCCATTGACCGTATAGGCCAGGTGCGGTGGCTCAGGCTTGTAATCCCAACATTTGGGGAGGCCAAGATGGGAGGATTGCTTGAGCCCAGGAGTTGGAGACCAGCCTGGGCAACATGGTGAGACCAATTGACTGTAGGGCTTGTCCCTTGCTAGAATAGGAGCAGAAGACTGAATAGCTGTGTCCTCAAGGCAGTCCCCTCCCACCCCCATTCCCAAAGTCAGAAAGCGAAGCCAGATCTCAAAGGCTGATACCTGAGGCAAGGAGAGCTAAGGGGAGAGAAAGCGGGGTGGGGTGGGAGCAGACACCTTCACAAGCCAAGTGTGTCTTACAGATCTGTACAAGCTGATAGAAGGACCGCCTGCTGAAATCCAGGGCTCCTGAGTTGATGGGTTTGCTTGTGAAGCTTCTAGGACAAGGCGCAGCCAGATGGAAGGGAGAGGATCCAGGACTTCCTAAATGCAGCCGCATCACCTCTCAACTCGCTGCAGTTTCAGAGACAGTGGAAGCTGCTCTTTACCTCAAAAGCACAAAGCAGAATTGGCAACTTCACATGTCTCAAGAGCTTCAGGATCCTTTGGTCTCGTGTCCTTTGGCACCCCACAACTGTATGGGGGACAAATTTGTTACATGTTTCCAAGGCTACAGACATGGTGCCATCCTCACGGGCCTAGCTCATGTGAGGTACTTTGTGGATCAGGTACTTTGCTGGGGGGATACAATGACCCAGGTGGTCTGTGTCCTCTGCCATTGGTTTGAACAGGGCACCCCCTGAAGTCTCCATCTCGGCTGTATAGTCTAGTCCAAATTTGCCTGGCTTCCCCGCTCCCTCCCAGGTCCTGCACACTGTCTTTTTGCCAACACCTCAGCCCTGTGTGCTATTTCATGTCTGCATGGTACGAGACACCGCTTCACGGCATATACTGCCACGGTATGTACATATGCATCCACGTGTATGTGTAGCATGTAGCTCATTCTGCTCAGCCTCTGGTCCGTTCCACATTGCTCCCAGCCCCACTGCTGTCACTGTCGTCCCAGATGTCCTTGCCATGGCCACAGACAATCTGCCGTCTCCTGGAAACGCTGGGGCTGCCCTTCAGAGAGCTGGCAGCCACTGGCAGTCAGGGCCTGCTTTGCAGAATAGAATGTGAACCCATCTCCTGATGGCCTACTTGACTTATTTAATTAAAGATGAAAACATGCAACGAGCAAAACCTGCAGCGTGTCTCTGCCTTTTCCTTTGCATTTGTTCTCAGCAGCAATTGGGTCACAATTTTTTTTTTTTTAATTGACGGAAGGGAGGTGACTTCCAGCATGAAGCAGGACAGAGAATCCATTCCCTGCCCATTCCCAAAGGATCAAAGGCACTAGGGGAATATGGGCAGGATGAACGTTCCTTGTGTTACCAGGCTGGCAGAGCTGGTGGGGACTGCGCTGGGGGGAGAGAGAGAAAACCCAGGTATTTGGGGGCAGAGACAGGTGCATTGGGCCAGCGGTCAGGGGGCCTGGGGATGAGTCCCAGCTTTGCCACTGTCTGGCTGTGTGACCTTGGATGAGTCACTGCCTTTACTTGGACACCAGTTTCCTTTTAGAATGAAAGTATAATCAGTTGTTCACATTGTTCCCAAAAAGCCCCATTAGGGATTCAAAAGTCAGCTGAAAGGGCAGGCGGCACGCTCTCCACGAGAGCCATGGTGCGTTTTGATCTGCTTTACATGTTCAGATAGCATTTCAGATTTATTTGGCCTTCAACTAAATCTCCAAAAACACATGAGAAGATTGCCAAGGACCCTTTCAGCTAAGAAATTGAATGGAGTCCTTTTAAATTGCAGTTACATCTGTCAACAACTTCAGTTCTTACTACATTTCAGCCCTGCTTGTCTCCCAAGAGCTGCCTACAGAGCATGGGTGTTCCCCGGGGAGAAGGGAGAGAGCTCGTTTTAGAACACAGAAGCCAGAGCTGATGGGGCTTTGTGGGTCTCAGGACACAGGGGTAGCAGGACCAGCAGCTGCAGGAAGAGGCAGAGGAGGGCTGAGCATGGGAACAGTGGCTCCTGGAGTGAGGGAGTGAAGACTCAGAAAGGCTCAATGTGAGGGAACAGGCCCCCTCCCCAAATCTTAACCTGTGTCTCTGCCAGTTCACCCAGTCCAGGCCTGGGAAGCTCAAGCCAGCTCCCTCCTGCCCATTAAAGTATTTGAGCTGGTACCTGTCATCCCGACCTGAACAGAAGCTGTCCATCCCAGTCAGGTGCTATTGCTGTCTCCCCTACTCTGGGGACTAGATATAGTTAGTTTAATTTCTGGGCTGTGTTTCCTACCACAAATGACCCCCTGGGGAAACAAATTGCACTAATCACAGAGCAGAGAAGCCTGGACGCCTCCCCACCTGCCCACCCCTCAGCCACGAGGCCGGAACCATCTCTCCTCCTCCCCCTTTCCCCCACCCCCAGACCCCATCGGGATCCTCAGTCTTCCTTCCTACACCCCAATTTACTCAACCGTGGGAAGGAACCAAGTGCCCCGTGCGCTCTCTGGGACAGGGAGAGTTGGCTGGGACTCTCTGGAAAGCAGTTTGATCAGCAGGGGACAGGGGTCAAGGACCTGTGCCATTGCCCACAGAGCCCTGCCAGGCCCAGCACTGGCCCAGCCCTGGAGCCTGCAGCAGCGTCCCCAAGTGTGTTTGGAGAAACTGTGGTCACAGGGCTGCTCTTGGGAAGTTACGGTGCACACTTGCCATTACAGGCTCCAGGCAGGCCGCTCTCCTGACTCACCCAGCGTTAAGGATTACCTCCTAGAAAGAACCATTTTTACGGAATTCCTTTATCATGAAAAGCTTTTTTTTTTTTTTTTCCCCAAACAACAGTGTTTTTCAAGACTCTGGCCTTCTTTATTTTTTAAGACTCTGTCACCCAGGTGGGAGTGCAGTGACACAGCCACAGCTCACTGCAGCCTAGACCTCCCAGACTCTAGCAATCCTCCTGCCTCAGCCTCCCAAGTAGCTGGGACCACAGGCATGTGCCACACCTGCTAGCTTTTTTGTATTTTTTGTAGAGATGGGATCTCACCACATTGCCCAGGCTGATCTTGAACTCCTGAGCTCAAGCAATCTGCCGGCCTCAGCCTCCCAAAGTGCTGGGATTATAAGCGTGAGACACTACACCCAGCCAAGACTCCGTCATTCTGCAGATAGTAGCTATCAGCAGCCTGCAGCTGGAAGTGTGTAGAACCAAAAGCCACCCTAAGCAGACATTAGGAGGTGGGTGAGTTGGCTGGGAGAAAAAATCCAGGGTTGGGTTTAAGGCCCATCCCCCTTCACGCCATCCTCCCCGAGCTGCCAGGGTAAGAGGAGCCCTCAGAGATTACAGCAGTCTCAGGGGCACTGTGGGCCAGGATTCAAGGCCCTGAGACTTGCTGTCCCCAAACCTCCCTGGTTCTTGGCTTCCTCAACTCAACCCACACTGTGGGGCCTCCGTGGCATGATCCAAAAGATGTGGAACTCCCCACAGAGAGTGGGGACTCTGGAGAACCAGGCCAGGTATAAACACCACGGGATACTATTTATCTGAGAAATAGGAGTTTGAGATCGCTCTTAAAGGAGCCATTTCTGAAACAGTGGGACAAAGGTTACCAGCAGTAAATAGGTTTCCTGGAGGTGTAATCCTCTGGTAGCTAGTAAAATCTTTGCTGAATGCTGTGGGCTGGCCGTTTATTGGAAGAAGAAGCAGGTAGTAAGTGCCCAGCAGGAGAGGCCCGCCCAAGAAAATTAGAAGGGGGAAAAAGAAGGAAGGGAGGGAAGGGGAAGGAAGGAGAGGGAAGAGAAGAGGAAAGAACGAAAAAAGGGAGGAAGAGGCCGGGCTTGGTGGCCCACACCTATAATTCCAGCACTTCGGGAGGCTGAGATGGGAGGATTGCTTGAGGTTAGGAGTTCGAGAACAGCCTAGTCAACATGGCAAGATCCCACCTCTTAAAAAGAAGAAAAAGAAAGAGGAAGGAAGGGAGGGGAAGGTTGGGAAAGGAAGGGAGAGAGGAAGGGAAGGAGGGTGACAGTGGGATGCATTTCATGGCAATGCAGAGGGGAAGACAGCCAAGTTGTTGAAAAGTACACCCTTGGGGATAACCACAGCCACAGTGCCCAAGAGTTTAGAGGGTCAGGCCAAGCCCAGGTACACTCAGTCCTATACACCTTTGACCATGGGGCTAATTTGCCCCGTGGATATGTGGCTCACACCATGTTTGTTTTTGCTTTTAACAACTGGCAGGCCAGCACAGTGGCTCACACCTATCACCCCCAGCACCCTGGGAGGCCAAGGCAGGCGGATCACTTGAATCCAGGAGTTTGAGACCAGCCTGGGCAACATGGTGAAACCATGTCTCTACAGAAACAAAACAAAACATTCACCCGGTGTGGTGGCACGCACCTGTAGTCCTAGCTACTCGGGAGGCTGAGGTGGGAGGATCACCTAAGCCCAGGAGGTTGAGGCTGCAGTGAGCTGTGATCACATCACTGCACTCCAGCCTGGCTGACAAAGTGAGACTCTGTCTCAAAAACAAACAGTTGGCATTCAAGGACAACACTTGAAAATGAAGGGATTTTATATAAAAGGCTCCTCTTGAAAATCAGGTGTCTTGGTTTGGGTTACACCGGCAGCTGACCCTGGGACAAGGGCACAATGGTTTCTTTAGGAGCTGCAGACGGTCCGGCAAGGGAGGAGAGGAGGCAGGCAGCCAGCAAGACTGCGCCGCTGAGCCAGCCGCCACTTTGGGGAACTGCAGCCGAATCCCTCTGGGAACCACGGTGTAAAGCTGGTGCCTTGGACTCACTCCATCCCGGGGTGAGGGGAGGCAGTCTGGAGGTTCCTACACCAGTGCCTGGCAGCCTCTGGCTGAGACTGCTCTAGGAGAGTATTAATTTCACAGCACAGCCGCTGGCCCCAGCAGAACAGCATTCCCAAACTCTGGAAAAACCCATTAGACTCAGAGGTGAAGATACAGGTGGCTGGAAGTTTCCAGAGCACAGTAAAAGGTTAGGTGTAGGGGATAGGGCATGGTCTGACAACATCTACACCCTGGGGTGCTCTCATTCCCACAGGAAAAATAGGCTCTGGTGGGAGGGGGCAGCAGCCTCTTTAACAGGAGAAGGGCAGAGTCCCCACCTGCCCATCCCCCATCGCCCCAATTACTGAGGCAGCAATGCCCATTGCCATGTATCATAGCACTTGCACTGATGTTTGACTTCCAACAGAATATCTTCTCTGTGAATTCATGTCTGTCCAACATGAGAAAGTGTCAGGCCAAGAAGGCCACGGCTCCCATGCCATTCACTGTGACAGCTCCCCAGCCACTATAGGCATTTGGGTTTACAGCCCTGGCTTAAAGTCCTGGAATGCTAAGTTCTGGGCTGGCTTTCCTGACAACACTCACTCTAGACTACTCTTTTTTTTTTTTTTTTTTGAGACAGAGTCTTGCTCGGTTGCCAGGCTGGAGAGCAGTGGTGCGATCTCGGCTCACAGCAAGCTCCGCCTCCTGGATTCACGCCATTCTCCTGCCTCAGCCTCCCCAGTAGCTGCATCTCTACAAAAAAAAAAAATATATATATATATATATACACACACACACACACACACACACACTCTAGGCCTCTTAATGCTTAGACCTCAGGAATGAGGTGGTTGCTCTCCCTGGTCCGCACACCATGGAACTGAACACCCCCTGGCCATCTCTCACGGTACCTACCTAGACTTCTCCCGCCCATCTGAGCAGGTGGCCAGAATAAACATGGAGGAAGAGGACAGCTGGTTTTGCCCACCTGGAGGTGAACAGGGTCAGGCTTGCATCCAGTCCATGCCAGAGCTGCCCCCCTGGAATGTTTTCAACTCTGCCTCGGTGCACGCGGTGGGGCATGCTCCTCTGTAGGGCACACAGACCCCTTGGGCACGCTGTCTCTGTGATCAGCATGGCAATGCCCAGTGCCTGGGCTCAAATGCTGCTCCATTCTCTTCCACACAGGAAAGCTCAACAGAGTGACAGAGGACACTGTGTGTGCAAAGAGGATAAAGGGGACATGGGAAGTTTGGAGACCAAGAAGCAGTTTGCTCTGGCCGAGACGGTGATGAGACAGGAGGCTGGAGAGGAAAACTGGGGCCCGAATGTACTAAGTAAAAGAGGTTTGACTTGCTCCTAAGAGCTATAGAGAGCCATTGAAAGGCAGAGTGAA